TTTAACTGCATGGACATTTTAAATGTAGACACAGTTAGTGGAAAGCAATCAATCCTGGCTTCAACACAAGTAAGATCTCCAGCTGTGTCGATATAGATTGTCCTCTGCACCAGTCTACTTATACGTGATGCACAATCTATGACTCTGGACAGTCCTATATTACCATATTCTCCTTGCAGAAGAATTAACCCTCTGCAGAAACTGTTAGACTCTGTGTCTGTGCATGAGGAAAGAACATACTTTTTCATGCTTCCTGGGCTGTATAAGAAATGTTACATGGTTCATATTATTGATTGTAACCAACCAACTGAAGAAAAGGGTAGATTTGGATTAGACAGTAGGAAGAATAACAGGGTGTGCGTGTGGTGAGACACTAGAACAGGCTGCCCAGAGAAGCTGTGCATGCCCGCTCCCTGTTCAAGACCAGGTTGAATGGGGCTTTGAGCAACCTGGTCCAGTAGAAGATGTCCCTGCTCATGGCAGGGGGGTCGGAACAGGGTGATCTTTAAGGTCCCTTCCTACCCAAACCATTCTGTGATTCTAACCAGCACAGCACAACTAGCAAACATTGAGTATTCATGAGCACACCATATGCCAACAACTTAAAAGATCTAAAGACATTAATTGAGCATATTTCATTAGCACGCAAGAGGAAATTGCCTCTTTCCAAACATTTTACAACCCACTAAAGGCTAGGTTTCTTGACTAAACTCTTCCTTGCAAATTCTCACCAACAATTAGCAGTCATCCCCATTAATTACTGTTTTTAGAGAGAATAAGCACACATTCCACAACCAGCAGTTTCTCTTCTCCACTTTTCCCTAAAGCTCCCACTTTGATTATTAACTTGCTTGAGATACATTAGCTAGGAGGACGTAAGCTGTGCATCCTTATAGCAGTTTAATTACAGTTTCATTCGGAAACTTTGCATCTCTGTAGCTAGAGGTTTCAAACTCTTTGATGGGTATTTGCAGCCATGTCAGCTAAGAAGTCAGTTCAGACTTTCACTGGAGAAGGCATAGTCTACATTAAGGATCTCTATCAGCATATAACATTACTGATTGTACCATCTCCAGTGAAACCTCTCCTCATCTCATGAGTCCTTATTCCTCTCCAGCAAATGCTCAATTATACCTAGTATTCAGTTTTGGCACCTCATGGAGTCCGGCCCTTCATGACAGCAGAGTTTTCTGTCTGGCCCATGAGGACTTTAGAATTTTTTATGTACTCACTCAGCTGAAGGACTGAAGTGAACAGGGCATACCAGGGAGTCCAGTAGCACACTGGGAGAAAACCTACAATGGTAGCATACAAGAACTTTCTCTCAAACGACAATGTATAATTTTTCTTAATTACATCAAATGTTAGTTTAAACTGAGTATGAAAAGTATCTCAGTTGAGCACTTTACAAAGATGACACAATAGTTTATGAACTATACACACAAAGAAATTAAATTCTTAAAAAGTCTATCAACACCACCACTTTGGAACAGTGTTTCTCTTCCTTCCTTTTCTCTAGGAAAGCTTTGCTAGGCACCCTTCCCTTTCTTGGCCTCTCTCCACTGTTCCCCCTATTTACCCATGCTGCCTTCGTCCTGATTTTGTAATGATCCTCACAGCAGGGACCAATTGTACAAAATGATGCAGACGTAGCTTCCTCCAACTGTGCTGGGAAGCCACAGACATCACCAAAGCTGTTTATGTCCTTTAAGTTAGTGCCATAAGTATTGGGGATTGCCATTCAAGAAAGTCCCATGAAGTCTGACAAATAGTGCCTTTAATTTTTAGCAAAAGTCTGCATCTTGGTAATTTATAATGCTTGTATTACCGTTTTTGCATTTCACTTGGCTTCTTCAAGATTGTGCTAGCCAATGCTTTTTTGGTTGTCACACAGTTTTATTCTGGCTTTCATATAGATGCCATCCTGGTTGTACAGAACGCTCTATAAGGAAAAATTTAAGTCCATAAAAGATGATAATCCAGTTTTATATATATTCTGCAGGCAAAGTTTTTAGACTTAGATACCACAACTAATCTCAAAAAAATAACTGTGTTTGGTTGGCTAAGTTGAAATAAGATACCTTACATGAATACTTGGAGGTACCACTCTCTTCAGTGGGAATAGAAGATACTCACTACCTCAGAAAGTTACATATGATAGTGGATTTTTTCATCCAACTTTAGCTGCTCAGATTGAGAATTTTGGCTTAATGTTTGCCACAACAAACATTGCTATTTGCCACCTGACAGTGTCCCTTTAATCAGAGGCTTCCCCATAGCTGCGTTCTCTGATTCTGAGATGTTTAGGATACTTTTCATACACTACAGCTTCTGAAGGTCAGTGTGTACACATTTTAATACTGTGATAAGACAGTATATGGAACTACTTGGCAGTATTTAGCTGGTACAGTTTCTTGTGGAAACAACAGAATTCCAAAACACACCACACAGAATGCTCATGGGTTATTACAAGCAAAAATCCCAAGACATCAGGAATTAAAAAGTGGAGTTCAACAAAGGAACGCTGATATTGTTGGTTGATATGAACAAAGTTGTGCCAAGTCTTCCTTCTTTGCCTTTTCAAGTGGAGAAGTAGACTGGGAAAGGAAGCAGAAAGGAAAAAAAAAAAGACATAAACCAACAGTTATTACAGAGTTACTGTTGTGCATTGTCTCACAGAAGTGTGCTGTCAGAGAATGGCAAACACTTTTAACACACCTTCACTGAAAGTGCATGACATGTCCTGCACACAGTATGCCTTCCTAGGCGGAATGAGGATGCTCCTCCTGTGTCTAAAGGAGTTTGTAGGGAGAGCTGGAGTGGAAAGCAGGGGAGACTGTGGCTCAAGAGATAGAAAGGCCAAGAACTAATAGTGATGATAACCACCATCCCCAGCTCCAGCAACACCTGCAGTCCCACATGTTGTAGCTCCTCCCTCAGCAGGGAGCCAGCCTGCTTTTCCAGGGCCCTACTACCAGGATGGTAGGAAGCCTGGCTTGGGCCATTTCATCACCGATGGTAGCTTGTTGCTGTGAGGAGCTACCCAATTTATCTGCATCTATAGCCAGCCCTGCATGAAGATTATGATCTTGTTCCTATTCAAATTAGTGATTGGAGAAGCCATGCAGGCCTTTATCTGTGACAGCACTTAGATGCTTGATGTCAACAGGATTACACATATACTTGGGAGCTACTGCAAATAAATACATCATTGAGTTCAATACACAGGGTCCTTCCTGAAGCTGCAACCTTTAGTCATTATTACAGAATGATCAAATAGACTGAAAAAAATAAATTAAGATCCAGAGCTTAAATACATTTAAATCTCACTAAACTTGCACTAAATTTCACCATGGTGAGCCATGACCTGGATTCAATGATGTGACATTCAAGTTTTGATTAAATACCCTAAACCCATGTCAAACCTGCTATGTCTGTTTCTAAACCGGGAGGCATCCAACATTTAAAGCTAGGAGGGAGACAATGTTATTACTTATATATAATTTCAGCCTTAACTTCTAAGGAGAAATTCCAAGCTATCTTGTTTTTTTACTTTCTTGTTAAGATACACATAATGCACAATGATGCACATATACACAGCAATCAGTTTCAAGTTTGTGATTAAATACCCTAAACCCAACATAAGCCATGTCAAACCTGCTATGTCTGTTTCTAAACCGGGAGGCATCCAACATTTAAAGCTAGGAGGGAGACAATGTTATTACTTATATATAATTTCAGCCTTAACTTCTAAGGAGAAATTCCAAGCTATCTTGTTTTTTTACTTTCTTGTTAAGATACACATAATGCACAATGATGCACATATACACAGCAATCAGTTCAATGGCTGCACATCTGTCTTGTCAGGTTGCTGCACTAGACAGCAGAACAAAGGCTCGTCTTTCCCTTGAAGCCAGTTGCTTTGAGTACAAAGTTAATATAGTTAATTAATATCTAGCCATTTTCCATTCTTGCCGTATCAGTGTTATGAAACCTTAGAATTATTCTAGGTCAGTCTGGTGCCAGCATTCATAAGACTAATAAACTGCCACATGCATCTCAATCCATTTAGTTATGTTTACAGGTGATTCTGTAAGCCTTCTTTACAGAAGCAAAAGAGGAAAAAGGAAACATGCCGAATACAAGGCACGTAATTTGAGAGCTGGGAATTAATTCACATCCACAATCCAGCCTCCTGGTGAATCTCATCTGGGTTACTAGCTGGATTGTCTAAGTCAAGAAATCTCCCTTTTAGGAGTCAATGCCATATTACAGTTATGTCACACAATGGCTGTTGCTAACACAGAGGTTACATAAATAAAATGTTCAGTTCCTGTCATTACAAGATCGCTGGCTCCCAACCAGCATGACTGCTATTATTCATTCATATGCTGTCTTTCCTATAACAAATGTGTGGAATAAGATGGATGATCTTTTGAGACAAGAAATCAGTAAGACTTTGGGCCATCTTTTAACAATATTTACGTATTCAAGATGCAGCATCTCAAATTCCAGCTGATTTGCTGGGAACTAGGCACCTATATGCTTTTTAAAAATTCATCAGATGCCCGTTTGCCTGTGGGCCTTCACCCTCGTTTTATAGGCATGATAAGCATTACTGTTCTTATTATGCCTATTTTATAGGCATGCATATAAGCAATTACTGTTCTTATTAGAAAACACCAGGACTATGGCACTGGTTGTAATGAAAGAAAGATATCTGAGACTGCATAAAAAATTATATAAACATGAAAAAGGAGAGTCTTTAATCCTAGGGAAAGTTACGTAACCTGCTAATGTAAAGTACATGTCAACAAATTCTACCTATATAAGCGTCTAGAGGGTTTGCAGTAATTCTCACTCTAACAGCATGACACTAAAAGGGGAATTTCGCAAATTAATCGGTTTAAATATTTTATATCCATTTTTTATTTTGTTTAATATATCAACACTTCTTAAATCACAGAGCTATTGAGACCATAAATGAAAGAGAAAATTAATTACTCACTTATAAATATAATGAGAATGACTGCGCAAACTACACCAAGGATGATCATCATCTAGAAAAAGAAAGTTATGAGGAAAAAAAGTCAGGTTTTCACAAGAAAGACATTAACCCCTCAGGATTTTTTTGCTTTTACTTAGTTGCTCATTCTCTATACTTTTAATTCTTGCAACGACTCACCCCGGCAGACTTGCTAAGGCCCCACATTTAGTGTCAATTTTAGGAACAGCTGGCCACCAGCAATGGACATAGTCTCTTGTCAAAGCTAGCAACTTCTTGCCCATCAGCTAAGATGCAGTGATCAACCTCATCCATTTCCAGCAGTAAAGAAAAAGTAAACATCCAAAGTAAAACAAGTCCAGAGGTGATTTAAGTGGCTGGATTCACACAGGGCCATATACCACTTTATTCCAGAGTAACTTGATCACTTTTCACCATGTTCCCATAACTCAGGGCAGAGGCAGCTGGAGACGTCTAATGCCTAGCAGCTATTTGTGCTGGCTTTGTGTACTTGTGCTGTTGAGAGAGGTAGCCAATGCTACCCAGCACAGTTTCCAGCTTCTTAGCCTGGAAATAGCTGATTGCAAAGCTGAAGTCTGTTTCCACAGGAACAGATACATCAGAGCCAGCTATGCACAGACCATACTAGCATTGAGTTTTGTGGGGCAGAGGCCCCCACATGAAACATGCTGAATGCTAATAAGGCCACCAGAGATGCTGCAGTCCAATTCCCGTCATCACCCCAGTGAGAATGGAAAGATTGAAAAACCAGCAAAACTGGACATGTCAAATCAAGGCCCTCATTCTTCCCAGCATATGTCTGGAGGACAGAGCCAGCCTTTGGCTTGCAGGATATTTATTTTTCACCCTCGTCCCTCCTTCCAGAGTCTGGGAGCCAGAGGAAGGATAGGGGGTTTCTGTTTGTCAGGGTTAAGCAGGAAGGGACACTGAGGAAAAGGGAATGAGAGTAGGTTGGAAGTTCTAGTGTAACTTAGGTCACTGTGGTGACTGCAGTCAGCATGGGTGAGCCTAACTCAAAATCTGTGTCTGTAGCTCCCAAAAGCCCTGCTTCCTGCACTGTCAGCCAAAGCAACTGGGCAACAGCTAAAAGAGGCCAAGAGGAACTGCTTAGTTGAATTTTTAATAATTAACTAAGAAGTGGATCTAGAGTGTTTGTGCGTACAGTTCAACCTAGATTATTTTGCCTTGCTTTACATTTCATGGCACTGTGGATTGAAGAGACAAAGCAGGCAACAGACTGGTGAGAGATACATGTGGGATTCTTCTTCGGGAAGAGGTTGTTTTATATGGGTGGACATGAATGGTCAGCAGCAAAGATGGTACTGAAGAGAAATGGAAATGAAGCTGAACTTTCAGCACAGTGTTCATGTTGGTTGGAGTAGAAAGAGGCAAGGATATGAGGTCTTATATGAATAAAAGGACCTGAAGTTTCTGGGTCCAGAAAACATAAATCATAGTGGAGGGCTGAAAAAGCAAAGGAGAGTGATGTTCCCTCTGCTCATGTGAAAGAATGAGACTTTGAAGACAGAAGAGGAGAGAACTGGTTCATTAAAGTCCTGCTCTAGCCTAATCTGCCCCTCTTTAAAAGGACTGTCATTTCCTCACTTCTCACAGCAGTTTGTGGAACCAAGTGTTTTTTTGATAGTTTACCATCCTAAAGAAAGATCAAGAGACTGATGATCTCCCACAAGCAAAATCTTTCTTCCCACTACTAGAATTCACTACACTTACTCAAATTTCGTGGTTCACATAGGGAACAGGCATGAATTAACATGGAATGCACTCTCACCCCTATCTGCAGGCACTGACTGAAGCATCAGAATTTGTGTCTATATTTTATATACTGCAGAAATTATCTAAACAATAGGTCCTGGTAAAGATTGCTTGACTTGTTATCCTGGAGCCTAGAGGGTAAGGCATCCCTTTTTCCCCTTGACAAGAAAAGACCACTTAGAGATCCTTCCCTGCAAAGCAAAGTCCCATTAAATGCAAGTGAAAGTAATGCCTGCCATGATGTGATTCTTAATAAGAATTCATGTATTTTACCTTGCAATTTTTCCACCAGTATTTTCTCTTCAGTTTGGCTGCACTGGTTTCAAACTGCGAGGCACCTGCTTGCAATGCATCTGCCCGGTTGTCAAGCTCTGATAATTTCTGGTCTCTTTCTAGCACTTTGTCAACATTCATTCTCATGATGTCTACCACCTGCAAAGGCACAGCCACATGTTAGATTTAACACACAGTATTCAACACATCACCTGTATGTTCACACTCTGGAATATCACATATCATATTGAAACCAACCATTTGCCATTATGGTATGCGATGGCAATTACCTGAATAGTGCCTCAAAAATCATGCCTGTGGAAACAGACACAGTGAGAACAAGATGAACATAGCTATACTGTGTTTAGATGCTCTTAAAGGTAAAAAATAAAGGGATATTATGAAATACCATAATCAGTTTCATTAAGGTTTTTAATTTCTTTTATCCTACAACTATCTACTTCACTATAGATACAAAAAACTGATGGAGACCAGTACCTCTACACAACAATTTGGTTGACATTTGTCCAGTCATCACTAAGACCAAGCCATTATTTTCCTTATACATTTAATGTAACTTTCTTACCTGAACTATCTAACCAATTGGCTAGATAAAGGCCACTCTGAAGGGAACTGTATGCATTTCCTGACTCAAGGAATTTACTTATTCTGCAGATCTTTCCTGGCCAAGATATCTTCCCAGCCATAGTTTGAAGTCCTGCTTGAAAGTGGAGGAGGAGAAAACTTTACTTGAGAAAATTCAGCCTGAAGTGTAGCAGGGAGCTCATGCCACCTTACTGCACAGCCTCGGTGAAAAAAGTGTCCACAGCCAGTACACAAAGGTAAGGCCCATTCATGCATATATTTTATACACTGACTTAGATGAAAATCCTCTTCTAGCAAGCCAATAACTCTAAATCAAAATCCTGTACTAATTAATCACTGATGTAAATGTCAGACAGTATGCCAATCTCAGTAAAGTTGTGTCCACTTATTCTAGCAGTGAATATGGTTGCTGTTCTGTTACTTTGCATACTCAGTAATAAGGAAGTCCATATTATTTGTATTTAATATAATTTAACTATTCCCTGCAAAACCCCAGGGTAAGTAAAAAAAATACGCTGTTTAAATAGAGTGAGATGAAACTTGTAGTGAAAGAGTCTTTGAAAGGACTGGCATAGTGTTAAATGCTGTGCCAAAACTCAAAAGATGTGTTTCACCTGTCTAGCAAACCTAAAACAACATCAAATATCTTGGTCAACCCAAATTTTCTTACTTGCTTTTCCAAACCAAAACCTTCCAAGCATTTAACTTCATATCAAATTAAAACACCTTTTGTTTTAATTTCTTAGCTAGTATTTAGTTGAATTTTGTCTTGGTACAAAGTTCCATAGTGAAAATTTTAAACTGTTTCCAAATGCTAAAACCAAATACTGTAACATTTCCTACCCATCTCTCATTTTTTTCTGCCCAGAACTATTTACTGAATTTAACCTGACTGCAGTGAACACTTGTCCAGATGAGACCGCATTTTTGTCAAATAAATGTTTGTCTAGACTAAAACCAGGATCCAGGCCTTAGAAAATAATCTCTAGGATGCCTAGAGAAATCAGAGGGGAAACTCCAACATGGACAAAGCTGAAATACTAGATCAGTACTGATATAGCATTGAAAATGTCAGTCATTTTACTAAGACCAAAAATTGTCTCTTAAGCAAAGTCGTGATGGCGTTGCTGAATTTCGGGTTTGGGTGTGAAGTCCTATGCAGAACAGCGCTTGGAGCCGAACAGCCAGAGGAGTGGAGTGCCGTGCTGTGGTGTTTGGTGCCACCTACAGATTACTTTCCCACAAGACGTGAAAGAAAAAACAACCAGGAGAGATCTAGTAGGAAGGTCAAAGCAAAGCTTAACAGGTCAGATCCTTAGGTGCTATAAACCAGTTTCACCCTAGTGACTTCACCGTACTGAAAGCCCCGTGGCATTTTTCTCCCTTGGTTATTCTTACACCATGATTGCCCTATTAAACAAGGATCTGCTGACCACATGCTGTCCACTCACAACTCATACCAAACTCAGCCTCCTTCTCAAATGGGAGACAAAAAAAAAAGTGGATCCTGATTATCACCCGCATAATCCTCAAATCCAAGATCTATTAACTGTCCCTACATACTGGATAAGAGATCCTGCCAAAAATTATGCCATCAGGCTTCACACGATAACAAGATGACAAACTTGGATAGGCTTGAGTGAAAAGTCTCAGAATACAGAGTATGTTGAAGTGGGGATTCATTAGCCTCACTGGAGCCACCTCCATTGATCTGCTTGAAGAGCCCTATGTATCTGACCTGCATAACTCAGTTTAAACAATAACTAGAAATTATTTTTCATCTTCTAGGGACAATTACTTTTGCTGTAGCTCACAAACAATTACAGAACCATCATGATGTAGTATGTTCAGGACAAAAGGTTTATTTCTTTCTTCTGACCCAAGACAAAAGCTGAAATGTAATAACTCTAACACTCCACTAAGGTCAATGAAGTTAGTGCAATGAGAAAATTAGTGATAACGAGAGAACTAAGCCTAGAAATTTTTGCAGGCATCTCTGCAGCCAGAGGATGTTCTTGTGATCAGCAATGGGGAGACCAGAAAGACCTTGTTTCAGATCTTCAGCAAAGACAAGGTTCTCAAAAAGACAAATCTCAATTTGACATGTGTATTTAATTCACCTTAAGAAATGTATTTCAGTAGGATGTTTTAAGGTCTTCTCTACTGTTTTTAAAGCATACCTGGAGCCTTGAAAATAATGGCTTTTATACATGTAACTAGCTATTTGCTAATGTGTGTTTTATTGAATTGGCATTAAAGAATCACACAAGTCCTGGCCACTTCCCCATGAACAGTAAGCAAAGACTTAAGTCTTTGCAGGTGTTTAGCAAAAGTCTTTATTGCACACGCAGCACACAAATCTGCACAGCAGCTGTGCAAGGATGCTACAGCTGCTACTGTACTGCTGTATGCTCAGGCACTACACCCATGAGTGGTGGTATGCTTGCTCATTCCTGTTATCACAGCAGTTGGATGAACACTGGCATTACAGCCAAACTGGTGGGGTAGTCTGTATGCTACAAGAATTTAAGGATCCAAGCTGGAACAGAGATGTGGTTCTCCAAGAGCAACAAAAGGAGTGGGGTTTTGTTGAATATGTTGTTACGATGTCATGTCTGGGTGCCTTTCTTTGGGGATAAATTGTGATGATTAATCAATATAGCTCTGGCTAATGAGCACAGCTTTCAGCTATACAATTCTCATGGCTTGAATCAATCTATGAGAAGCTGATGATCTGTCCCTGAGAAACAGCCTGTGGGATTAGTGTCTAACCTTTAGGAATGCAGGAGTACGTTAAAAGAGCTGGTTCCACTATGACATTTCCTCCTAACCTGACTGTCTGGAATGGATTTCTGAATTGTCGCCAATTCTGATGTTTACTCTGCAGAAGTGTTACTGGTACAAGGATGTTCATACTCAGAATCTTTCTTCCTCATGGATGCCATCCTTTGGTAAACCTCATTTCCTAGATCCGCTGCCTTCAGATGAGCAGGAGTTGCTGGATAACTAGGGAGGAAAGCACCTTAAAGAAAAAAAATCCACAAAATAACATTGTGATCAGCAACAAATCACCTGCAGCCACTTACCTCATCCACCTGAGCTTGTGTCTGCTGCAGCCGTTTGTTGCTTGACACATTGGTAGCAGGAGGTGGCCCTGCAGCCCCAGCACTGGTGGGACCTTGGGTAGGAGCTGGAGCAGACCTAGATCAAAACCAGAGAATACAAAAAGTGACTGAAACCATCTTCACTTGTTCATTACCCTTTTTCTGTAACAAGTCAAAAGTACCTCTCTTTTAAAAGGAGCTGTCCATTGACAGCCCATATTTTCCATGCCTGGATCACAACTCTAGTGTCCCAATCCCTCCCATACTGCAATTAGTTTTCACACTATTTCTTGATAGGACCATATCAAACTTCCCCTCTCTTGCTGCCTTTCCAAATGGCAAGAAATTCAGATTATCTACCCTAAGTTAGGCCAATGACCAAACTGATCATAGGCCTGACTAGCAAGGTAGAGTTTACGTCCCACTAAGGAAACAGACTCTGCTCTAAAACAAAAGACAAAACGAAGTCCCTTAAAATCCAACAACAGATCCAGTCTGTCTTAGTGCACGGGCTTGTGCAGACAAGTCACCCTGCCAGCCTGAATAGGGTCCCTCAACCTTAGCCAGTCATTCTTCACACGCACACTTCAACCATGAAACCTTACCTTTCCTTTCAAGGGAACCCTGTAACTTCTTCCTGCAGAGAAATAAAACCCTTCCTGAAGCTGCAGAGGAAATCCCTAGGCATGTGAACTGAAAAATATCACAAATCCCACTCATGCATTGCCAATGCCTTCCTACAGTGACAGACTGAGAGAACACAGTGTTTCTCTGTGAGTCATTCCCTTTTACATCCTGGGGTCTGATTAATGCTGCTGGAATTATGCCCCATTAATAGACTGTCAAAGCACCTAAGGGCACTAAAGTTACCCTGGTACCAAAGGTGCATTAACCTGCAAAATTCAGTTTGACAGTAGCACCTGTGGGCTGAGATCCCTACAGATAACACTGACCCTCACAGACTCCCAGGGGTGGAGCAGCTGTTTGCAGACTCAGAGTACTGCTGTATCTTACACTTTTCTTTTTTAACTGTGGGTGAGAATGTCATTATCAAGCTTTAGTTTAAAGAAAAAAAACTTGAGCCATACACAAATTGTTCATCTTCTGAGGACCTCACAGCCACTATTAAAAACATAAAAGACCAGATGCTGCTGTGACCTGCAACACAATTACACCATTGAAGGGCCATGGGCCAGGATGCCAACAGGATTTATTCCGAGTTTACGCTGTTGTCACAAAGGATCAAAACCTGACTATAACGTATATCAGACTCAAATAATGCAAAACAAGATCTCCCTGGAGCATTAGCAACTTCAAAGGGAGTTTCTGGTACAAAAACAGAACTAAAATTGAAATGGTAAGATTTTTTTTCAGTCAAGGAGGTAAGTAGGCTTTTTCCCAATCAACACAAGCAGAACTTTTTTCTACTGAAACACTGTGTCACACTGTTCACTACTACAAACCTTAACAGAGCTTCCCTTTTGAGCTGTGTACTGTTAGCATCCTAGAGAATACAGAAGAGAAGCATGTGAGAAGTGTTCTTCCTGGCCATATGTTTTCACTCGTAAACATAGCTTATAAGGGTAGTGGTATTCTTGGTCAAAGCTATGTGATAATGCAAACATTCAGTGCTCTGCCATATACCTTTTCTGCCCATTAATTTTCATCTTTTTTTGCACCTCCCAAGCTGTCCTCAAAATGATTTGGCACAAAGCAGACACTTCCCAGTTTGTTCTTTTCCTGCATCGTTGCTACCATGCAATTTGCTTTCAACTATATTTCCTGAGTCTTTTCTGCTCTCTGTGTAAGGGAGGAACAAATGGGAAGAAAGGCTGTTTTTACAGCTACCCTGACCATCCAGCAGGAGCTACTGTAGCTATCAAAGAGAAATGGCAATCTTTGCGCTAAGGTACAGCAAGCTTGCAATTAATGTACCCATCTTAATTAATTACATAAAATCTAATACAAAAGTAACAAGAGCTGGGTGCTGCCTGTAGTGCAGAGCTACTCTTTCCAAACCTTTTGTCTCTGGAGTTGTGCTCTCTCTCCTTACACAGTTAACAGCAGCTGAGCAGCTGCCTCGCTCGCAGCCTCGTGGGTCAAAGCAATGATGTGCCACAAGCAGAAGAGTGCTCACCACAAGAGACACAGAACCTGCTACAGAGGGAACAGCACAGGTTCCCAGACAGGCTCTAGGAAGTCAGTCCTTAAGCACATGGCTTTAATGCTGCCAGCAGCTCTTGCAGCATAAGGCATGAGTCCTTTCTCATCATTAGGCAGCATGCAATGTCCAACATAGACAAAACAAGCACAAAGATCCCTGCATCACCTCTCCTCCTCCTGGCCTCTCAAGGCACTTCAAGAACAGGACTGTGGGTTCTCCATGTTTCTGGCTCAGCCCTACCAGTGTTTGAGCTCTGTAGAAAGCATCCCGACTGGGCAGCAGCAAAAGGCAGTACCTCTGTTGGCTAATGTGGCTCCAGACCCACAGGGCATCTGTTAAGAGTTTGTCTTTGAACCCAAGATTTCTGGTAAAGAAGGGAACTGAAAGCCTACATCACTAGAAATGTTCTCTGGGATATCTTAGTGCAAAAATGCTAGAATGGAAGTCCAACCTACATTTGCATAATCCTTCATTATTGCCTCTGTACTGTGTCATATCAGCTTATAATTTCTCAGAAGCATGATTCAAAGAAATTTATGCAAGACAGCACTATATAGGAGAGACACTTTTCTTAAAAATACATGATGCATCACAAATTCACAGTCTAATTTCTCATGGCCTGGCATGATTTCAGGAAGCTACAAAAGAATACAAAGTCCATATAAAAGCTGAGGGAGCTGGGGCTCTTGAGCTTGGAGCAGAGGAGACTGAGGGGTGCCCTCATTCCTGGGGATCCATTTGGAAAGGGCAGTGTCAGGAGGAAGGAGCCAGGCTCTGCTCTGGGCTGGCCAATGCCAGGACAAGGGGCAATGGTCCCAAGCTGGAGCACAGGAGGTTCAAGCTGAAGATGAGGCCAAACTTTGTGAGGGTGAGGGTGGCAGAGCATGGCCCAGGCTGCCCAGAGAGGTTGTGGAGTCTCCTTGTGTGGAGACACCCAAAGCCCTGGCCGTGTTCCTGTGTGACTGCTCTGGTGATCCTGCTCTGGCAGGGGTTGCACTGGGGGAGCTTTCCAGGGCCCTTCCAACTCCTCATATTCTGCAATCCTGTGACATCGGTACCACATGCATAGAGGCTTTGGTAGTTAGTTTGTTCCTTATATAACAGCTACATCCTCACTTCCCATTGTGCCAAATTTTGCTTCAGTTAGCACATGAGCAGTTTGACCGATTGCACGCAGGGGCTGGATCTTTGTATGTATGCAGTCACCTAGGAAGAATATTCGGGAACTGCCCTAGTGATTCAGTAAAACGGTCTCAGCTGACTCAGAAGTCCTCAGTTCTTCTGGTTAATTGCTGGGCCTGAAAGTAGTAGGACAAAATCATGAATAAGAGATTTCTCATCTCACCTGTATATTTTGGAAACAATTTAACAGTTAAAGAGCAACTCTAAATAAGAGAGAATTGGAGATATCCAGTGTTACTGTTTTCCATTTCAGCACTGGCTGAAAGAACATTAAGGATGATTGCTTATCTAATGTTCTGGGAGGCTGCCTGACACATACTTCCATTTTTGTTCATGTGTGTGAGCTACAAAGGAGAAAACTTTTGTGTTAGTCAGGCTAGGGAAGGGAGATGCAAAATGCAAATACCAGGAGGATGCCAGGCCACCACTGTGACTTTGGTACAGCTTACATTAGGACCTTGACAGCTGCTTTCAGCAACTTGTTTTATCCATCCAAAGTTCTTTTTAAAGGCTCCAGCTACAGATCCTAATCCCTTCAAAGTCTTCATCCTAACAACACTGCGATAAGCTAAGGAAAAGCTGTTATTTCTGCATATGGCTGGGAAACATGTACAGGGTGATCAGGTGACTTGCTCAGTGGCACAGGAAACCTGTGGCAAAGCAGCCCAGGTCTCTTTGTTGCCACCTTTCTATTCCCCTTTTATTCAGCTACCGACTCTGAATCAAAGCTCACAACCTATTTCTAATAGTAGGTGTTATTTTCTACCCCTCAGACTTTAACACACAGTTAAAGGTTACAGCATAAGGAAAGTGAGAATTACATCAGACAGCTTTAGCTGGTATCAGCTGGCAAAGCCCAGGGGAGGGGGCAGTGAAAGTGCATCCATGCAGCAGATTTGACTAATGATCCCTATAAAAAGTGCAATGAAGGAGGCAATTTTCTGTGAATCCCAGTTTGATTCCTCTTTCAGCAAAACCTTTCCCTGTTGTTCAAGTACAACATAGAATTGCACCACCTCTCTTCCTCTTTATTTTTTTACTGTCCAGGTATCATGTTAATGTACTAAATATTTACTGCTTGTACTGCATTTTCTGTGAGAGGTTTTGGTTTCTTTTTAGTAGTGGGGTAGGGCTATGGAGATAGCCCTGTAAGAAGCTACTAGAAAGCTCCCCCGACCCTAGTGTCAGACCCACCTCAGACCAGGGCCAAGCTAATTAGCACCCCTGCAAATTAATGTATTTAAGGGGGGGTGCAGCATGCAGCCCACTGCTCTCTTGCACCAGCCACAACCAGCACGGCCCCAGCCCCAACTTAAGCTCAAGCCCTGCTACAGCTCTAGCCCTAAAGAGAGAGCCAGGAACTCTTCAGAACCATCAGAAGGGACCTGCAGTGGAGAAAGGAGAGGGATGTGAGGAGAACAACTGTGCAAACACCGAAGTCAGTGAAAAGACAACTTACTTCTAATGCCCCCATTAAATTAAGTGTCCTTCAGAATTAGGTTATCAGCCTTCTTACAAGTAGATAATGATGTTCTCTGCCTATGAGGTGAGAGGACTCTTCAAAGGAAAACACTGGCTAGACAGCATGACAGTTCCGAGATACAAGCTCTCAGTAAGGTAATCTGCTTTTCAGTTCAGTTGCCCGCTGATTGTAGCTATTTCAGATTTGCGGATGATCTTTCCCCCTCCAGTTATTAACTAGCCTATTTTAATAGGCTAAGTTTATCCTTCTTTCATTCTACTAATCTCAC